AGGGTGGTACAGGAGACTCCATGCAGTCTGGGGTTTCTTGTTCTCCAGCTGGTTCTCTTGTTCTCCAGCCGTTAAGGCATGGAAGTTTCTGGGTGTTTGCTGTTGTTGTTACATTCAAAGTTGTCTGACCAATGAAAAGTTGTTTGGAAAAGAACTGCTGTGGAGAGAAGGGTATAAGAGGGGAGCCTGCCCTCAAGATAAAAACAAGAAGGCAACATGAAGTTACATCAATAAAGAAGCAGGAAAAAGAAGTGAAGAGGAACAGGCTGGCAGAATGGAGACCAGGACGGGAGCAGGCACATGGATTGCCTCACGAAGACAGGTTCGGCCAGACTCAGCAAACCGCTCAGAGAAGCTCGTACAGAAAGTCGCTGGAAATAGGCAGCACTGGAGCTGGAGAGAAGCTCGAGCTGAGAGAAGCAGACCTGTGCACACAACTGCCTCTTGCTGGTCAGCAGTTGTGCATTATGGAGAATCTGTCCTTAGGAGCAAAGACTGTCCTGGTAACCTTACAGCTTATTCTCCTTATTAACAATCAGACAGTTTATGAGCCTGAAATATGGGACCAGACTGAGGTCAAGGTGTGGGACTCTGCAATTAAAATTACAAGGTTGCGGTGGGATTGCTCGGCACCTGGTGAGAAGTCTCTGAGGCCTTAAAGCGCCATGTGGAGCCACAGTCAGAAACGTGTGGCTTGCCAGATACTGATGGAGCTGCGGGCTCGTTTACTGATCCGACTGCTACGCCATTTCCATGGGCCCCTCTGCTGCTGCAGCCATCGAAGGCCTTTGCTGTTGCACCCCCTGCTGACCTGGATGTGCCTTTTGACCCAGGCCTATTGGCCTTGAAAAGGAGACAACTTAAAGCAAGACATTGTTCAAAAGGAACGGAAAATGGAGACTGTTAAGTTATCATAGAATCATAGAATATCCTGAGTTGGAAGGGACCCTTAAGGATCATCAAGTCCAACTCTTGATACTGCACAGGTCTACCCAAAAGTTCAGACCATGTGACTAAGTGCACAGTCCAATCTCTTCTTAAATTCAGACAGGCTCGGTGCAGTGACCACTTCCCTGGGGAGCCTGTTCCAGTGTGCAACCACCCTCTCTGTGAAGAACCCCCTCCTAATGTCAAGCCTAAATTTCCCCTGCCTCAGCTTAACCCCGTTCCCGCAGGTCCTGTCACTGGTGTTAATGGAGAAAAGGTCTCCTGCCTCTCGACACCCCCTTACGAGGAAGTTGTAGACTGCGATGAGGTCTCCCCTCAGCCTCCTCTTCTCCAGGCTGAACAGGCCCAGTGCCCTCAGCCGTTCCTCGTACGTCTTCCCCTCCAGGCCTTTCACCATCTTCGTAGCCCTCCTCTGGACACTCTCCAACAGTTTCATGTCCTTTTTATACTGTGGTGCCCAGAACTGCACACAGTACTCGAGGTGAGGCCTCACCAGCGCAGAGTAGAGCGGGACAATCACCTCCCTTGACCTACTAGCGATGCCGTGCTTGATGCACCCCAGGACACGGTTGGCCCTCCTGGCTGCCAGGGCACACTGCTGGCTCATATTCAACTTGCTGTCTACCATGACCCCCAGATCCCTCTCTTCTAGGCTGCTCTCCAGCGTCTCATCGCCCAGTCTGTACGTGCAGCCAGGGTTTCCCCGTCCCAGGTGCAGGACCCGGCACTTGCTCTTATTGAACTTCATGCGGTTGGCGATCGCCCAGCTCTCCAACCTATCCAGATCCCTCTGCAAGGCCTTTCCACCCTCAACAGAGTCCACAACTCCTCCAAGTTTGGTGTCATCAGCAAACTTGCTCAAAATACCTTCTATTCCTACATCCAGATCGTTTATAAAAATATTGAAAAGTACCGGCCCTAAAATGGAGCCTTGAGGGACCCCACTGGTGACCGCCCGCCAGCCTGACGCAGCCCCATAACCCTTTGGGCCCTGCCCGTTAGCCAATTGCTCACCCATCGTATGATGTTTTTATTTAGCTGTATGGTGGACATTTTGTCCAGTAGGATCCTATGGGAAACCGTGTCAAAAGCCTTGCTGAAGTCCAAAAAAATCACATCAGCTGGTTTCCCTTGGTCCACCATACGGGTGATCTTATCATAAAAGGAAATCAGGTTAGTTAGGCAGGACCTACCCTTCACAAACCCATGCTGGCTGGGACCAATGACTGCTTTGTCCCCCAGGTGCGCCTCAATAAGTTCGAGAACCATTTTCTCCATGATTTTACCAGGCACTGACGTGAGACTGACAGGCCTGTAATTGCTAGGGTCTTCTTTCTGACCCTTCTTGAAAATCAGCACAACATTTGCCAGCTTCCAGTCTACCGGGACCTCTCCAGATTCCCAGGATCGTTGAAAAATAATTGAGAGAGGTTCCGCGATGACGTCCGCCAGCTCTTTCAGCACCTGGGGATGAATCCCATCCGGACCCATGGACTTGTAGGGATCCAGGTGGAGTAGCAAATCCCGCACACGTTCAGGGTCAGTTGGGAGTTTGTCATCCCCACCGTCCCGGTCCTCCAGCTCAGGGCACCCTGGGTCCCGAAGCCCATCATCGGCATTGAAGACAGAGGCAAAGAAGGCGTTAAGCGTCTCTGCTTTGCCTATGTCATTGTCTGTGAGGAGACCTTCCCTATCAAGGAGCGGCCCTATGTATTCTTTAGTTCTCCTTTTTCCATTCACATATCTAAAAAAAACCTTTTTATTTTCTCTCACAGACACAGCCAGCTTCAACTCTAGGTGTGCTTTAGCCACACGAATTTTCTCCCTACAAACACGAACAGCATCCCTGTATTCTTTCCATGTCACCTGGCCCTCCTTCCAGTAGCGAAACACTCTCTGTTTCCGCCTAATCTCCATTAGAATGTTCCTGGTCAGCCACGCAGGCCTCCTGCCCCGCCTGCCTGACTTGCGATATTTAGGAATCGCCTGATCTTGTGCTTCTAGGAGGCATCGCTTAAAGAATGACCAGCACTGGTGGACATCGAGGCCTTCAAGAGCAGTTTCCCAGGGGACCTTGCTGACTAGTTCCCTGAGCAGCCTGAAGTCCGCTTTCCCCATATCCAGGGATGAGGTTTTGGTGGCACTTTTCCTTCTGTCACCGTAAATTTTGAACTCAACCACTTCATGGTCGCTATGACCGAGGCGGCCACCAATCACCACATCTCCCACCAGACCCTCTCTGTTTTCTAGCAACAGGTCTAGGAGGGCACCTTTCCTAGTTGGCTCCGTTAGCACCTGCACCAAGAAGTTATCATCTAGGTGCTTCATGAACCTCCTGGACTTGCTCGTGTCAGCCGTGTGGCACTCCCAGTTAACGTCTGGCAAGTTGAAGTCCCCCATAAGGACAAGGGGAGTTAATCTCGAGGCCTTTCTTAGTTCTGTAAAGAATAATTTATTGGCGCTATCGTCCTGGCCAGGCGGTCTGTAATAGACTCCCACAACGACATCCCCTTTATTCGTTCGTCCCTTGATCCTTACCCAGAGGCTCTCAACTTTGCCATCGCCGACCTGAAGTTCCACACAGTCCAGCCCCTGCTTCACATACATCACCACCCCACCACCTCGCCTACCCTGCCTGTCCCTCCTGAAGAGCCTGTAACAATCTATCACAACACCCCAGTCACAGGACTCATCCCACCAGGTTTCGCTTATGCCGATGATGTCATAGTTGCGGGACTGGGCCAGTACTTCTAGCTCATCCATTTTATTCCTCATACTGCGTGTGTTCGTGTAGAAGCATTTCAGGTGCGTCTCCTTACACTCAGCACCTTGTGGATCTAACCGAAGGACCTCACTGGCACACAGCCCCTCTGATTCTAGCGTACCATCCCTTAGGTCTTCACCGGCATGCCTGGTTTTAGCCCCTTCCCCCTTCGACTCTAGTTTAAAGCCCTATCTATCAGCCCTGCCAACTCCTGAGCAAAGATCCTTACCCCTCTCTGAGAGAGGCGCATCCCATCCGGTGCCATCAGGCCCGGTGTAGCATAGACCTTCCCGTGATCAAAGAACCCAAAGTTCTGCCGGTCACACCAGTCTCGAAGCCACGAGTTTACGTGAACAGCACACCTTTCAGCCTCGATCCCCCCTATCGGAAGGACAGAGGCAAACACAACCTGCGCCCCTGATCCTCTAAGTAGTCGCCCCAAATCCCTAAAGTCTCTTTTGATCGCCTTCGGACTTCTTGTTGCTACTTCATCGCTACCAGCCTGAAAGACCAGTAGCGGGTAGTAGTCAGTGGGCCGTACCAGGCGCTTGACTTTCCTGGCAAAGTCTCTCACCCGAGCCCCAGGGAGGCAGCAGACTTCCCTACGGGTAGGGTCAGGCCGACAAATAGGGCCCTCTTTTCCCTAAGGATAGAGTCTCCCACAACAATAACCCTCCTGTCTTTCTTGATGGAGGCAGTCCTGAGGCGACTTAAAGTTATGTAACTTATGGAGTTATGGAAAAGTTATGGAACTTAAAGTTATGGAACTTAAAGTTATGGAACTTAAAGGATTGTTTACTTGGTTACCTATCCTGATTGTATGTATGTATAAGCATACTCGGGTTATTATGTAAAGCAACGTTCTGTATACATGTATTTAGAATGTTTGATGTTCGTGTGTGTGTGTTGGTAGTGCATAGACTCCCCGCGCACCCAGCACTGTTTACTTGCCTTTTATAAATATTCTTTTACGTTACTAAATTCAGAGTTGAGACTTCATTTATAACAACACCCAGCCTGGCTCCAGGAAAAGCCTCCTGAGCCTGATGAGCCCTGCTCGTCTGGGGGAGGAAGACAGTCTGGACAGCTTGTTTGTGAGAAAGGAGCGGTGGCGAGAAGTACTCAAACTAAAACGCCCTTCATCGGGAGGAGCTTTTTTTGCCTTACTTGCTCAGTTCAGAAACTTTCTGTTTCTGTTCTTGACGACCAATGACTTTGCACATGATCTAGCTCCTAACCGGCTCGTACACGGTCATTTGTTCAACAGAACTGGTTTGCATGTCACCGAAATCCCCTCCTACTCCCGCTCCCGCTAAATGCTGCCGAACTTCACAGGCAGCTGTCACACTTCAGCCACTGCACCTACAGAAGAAGACCTGTCACCGTCAGAAGCTGCAAAGTTCAGACTCGGGGACAAAAGCGCACAGGTTCCTCTGGTGAGTTGTCTGAAATGCTGCTACTGTCATTCCAGGGAGAAAAAAGAAAAAAAGGTTGTAATGCCTTCTTTCAGGGAGGGGGTTATTACTTCCTTAAGTAAAGTTCAGGCAGTCTTTGTTTCCAGGTGAGAACAGAAAGTCCCTGGAGAATGGAAATCCTGGTTGCATTACTGTAAGGGTGATTTAACAAACTCCTTGTCTTCAGGAGTGTCTGTTCTGGTAGCACTCGCTGGGTCCTCACAGGAGCGTTGACTTCACAAGGGTGTCTGCACCATAGGAATATCAAAAGGGTGAAAAAGTTCTCTGACCTGCCTTAAAGTTTCTAGGAAGAAATTGACTCATTTAAGTTACAATCAAGCTTTTAAATATATTTCCCCCTAAGCGTGCCATATGAACCTTTCACATACTTTCTGATTACTGAAGCCATTCTTAATTTTTTCCTTGTTTTGTGGACAGAACAGTCTTCTTGGGGGTGTTAAAATGTAGTACCTGTCCCAGCTTTTTGTTTTAGCTGTGGTTTGTTCTTCATGCCGGTTCTGTTGTGGGATTTCCCAGCTGACACGGGTTCTAGTTGTTTCATTGCACATCTGTTTCTTACCGTGATGCCGAGCCCCGGAGGCTCAAACGGAGGCTGGTTGGTGCAACCCAGGGCTCAGCAGGGCACGAGCATCTCTCAGCTCAAATAAAGGGCGCAGGTACCCATGGGTCTGGGTGGATCATCTGCTTGGACTGGGGTGCCACGTGTGGTTAGGTGATAAAAGCATTGTTCTCGTGCTGGCAAGGAACAGAAAGCAGAGAGCTGAGGACACGGTCAGGGGCAAGACGTGAACTGTATTGCACCTGGCCCGATCACTGTGACCTGAGGAGGTAAGAGGCAAGCACAGCAGCCACTGCTGGAGCCATGCGAAGTGAGCGGTCTGTGCACCGGCTGGCTCTGAAGGGTCTCGGCATTTGGGGGTACTTTAGGAACTGCTAAGCCTGAGCTAGCTGGCAGGGAGGCAGAGGAAAGAGAGCTGAGAAGTGGTGTGGCTTTGCTGTGGATGGGGTAATTCCTCCAGTAATGACTGAATTATTTAGTGACGTGATTTTAGTTTACTTTGAGTAGTGTATATTCTGTGCTTAGTTTTGGAGCAGTTTATCTTGCTGAAATCACTTGAGGCAGAGTCCAGAGCTGAAACAGGGGCAGGAGACGTGACAGCTGGCACCCATAGCACGATCAGTGGCTGGGACGGACCCCGCACACCGCTCGGGGCTGGGACGGACCCCACACACCGCTCAGGCTCAGGGCTGGAGGTTCAGGTGCCGGACGAGGGCACTGAACTGACGGTGATTCTGGGCAGAGGCTCCTGCTCCAGTTGGTGGCCGTGCACGTCCTCTGCGAGCTCTCAGGTTTCCCAAAGCACTGCAAGGGTTGCCAGTGACTGATCTGAGTTCCCCTGCCAGCTCCTCATTCCCCAAGGCATCGGGATCCCCTCCCAAGCTGAGGAGGCGCAGCCCTTGCCCGGGCTGTCCCCATCTGCCACCATGGTGCAGCGAGGCCCAGCCACGCTCCCCTGCCCCTGCAGCCCCTGCTCCTGGGCTGTTTGGCTAGTTTGGGTCACCTGTCCTGGGTCTGTCCCCTCCCAGCTCTTACTGCACCCCCAGCCTGCCCGTTGGCAGGACAGAGCAAAAGGCTGAGATGTCCTTGGCTTAGTATAAGCACTGCTCTGCAACAATTAAAGCATCGGGGTGTTATCAGCACTCTTCTCATCCTAAGCCAAAACACAGCATTCCACCAGCTACTAGGAAGAAAATTAATTCTGTGCTAACTGAAACCAGGACAGCGGGGCTGGCAGAAACGTGCCCTGCCCCTGGCAGGGGGTGTGGGGCTGCCAAACGCTGTTCCCTGCCTCACGGGGTGCGCAGCCATCTTGTGGGTGCATGTTTACCCTCGGCTGTACAACCACTTCCTGCATGCACACACAGCAGGCAGCACGCACACACCGGGTGTGTCAGCGACCCTCATCGTGACCATCATCGGCCTTGTTATCCACCATGGGGGGACACGGGAGACTTTGGCAAACCTCGCTCAAAATCCCTTATTCTTCTTTCAGGTTTTCCCTTGGAGTGGGCTCAAAATGGCAGACTCTAAGATGGAAGGTGAGCGCCTTACCCACTGCACGCAGCAGCTTAGAGTCCCATGGTCACAGAGCCACAGAGTGGCTGCCCCCAGCGCCATCCAGCCTGGCCTTGGGCATGGGGCACCCACAGCTCCTGAGGGCAGCCTGCACCAGGCCTCACCACCCTCATAGTAAAGAATTTCTGCCTCGGATCTAACCCAAACCCACCCTCTTCTACCTTAAAGCCGTCACCCCGTGTCCTATCCCTACACCCGCTGCCCAAGAGTCCCTCCCAGCCCTCCTGAAGCCCTTGCAGGCACTGAGGGCCGCTGTGAGGTCTCCCCACAGCAGAATTTCACAGAATTTCTAGGTTGGAAGAGACCTCAAGATCATCGAGTCCAACCTCTGACCTAACACTAACAGTCCCCACTAAACCATATCCCTAAGCTCTACATCTAAACGTCTTTAAAAGACTTCCAGGGATGGTGACTCCACCACTTCCCTGGGCAGCCTGTTCCAATGTCTAACAACCCTTTCGGTAAAGAAATTCTTCCAACATCTAACCTAAAACTCCCCTGGTGCAAACAGCCTTCTCCTTTAGCAGCCTCCTCATTCAGTCAGCCGGGTGCAGTGCTGCTGAGGGTGAGGCTGGGTTTGCGTCCTCGTGCAGCCTCACGCACGCTTGTGCACGCGGTGCACGGGCCCTCTGGGGAGGCCACGGGCTCGAGTATTTCCCGAGGCTGCCTCTCCTCTTCCCACTCCTTAGGCTGTGCTGTGCCAGGCTCAGGGCAGATGGGGCAGCAGCCGTTGGTTACAGCCGGAGGCACAGCACAGGGTGCAAAGTTCTGCCCCAAAACCTCGCTATCTGTGTGCCTGAGCCAGCTCTGGCCCTGCTGGGGCCGTGCAGGGCAGGCTGAGGTCCTGCGGTGATCCAGCACAGAATCCAGAGGGTTTTTCTGGCTCAGAACATGACTTCTTGTAAAGGGAGTGCTTCAGCCTGGCCGTTTGAGCACTCTGTGCATTCCTGCACTGCTGGAGAGCTGCAGCATGCACTTCTGCTTTCTCTTTCTGCCTTTGGAAGAGGTCTGGGTGCTGGCCCTCTGAGGCAGCCTTATCCAGACTCCCCTGGGGTCCCTCGTGTTGCTCCTGATGGTCCCCGGGGACCGCTGCTGGGGCCGCTAACCCTAATTCCTGTGTTTTTGCAGTAAAAACCCTTTCCTTCTCACCCCTGGGAGCGTGGCGTGCAGGGGGTGTCCCGGCACCACAGGGCCGTGGGGTTCAGACACGTGTCTCTGCTTGTTCCCCCAGGACCCAAGCTGAACATCCTGCTCGTGGGCAAAACTGGAAGTGGGAAGAGTGCGACAGGGAACACCATCCTTGGGAAGAAAGCATTTAAATCTGAGCTGACAGCAGCTTCAGTGACCAAGAGCTACAGTGCAGACACTGCCTCATTCCGTGGAAGAGACATTGCCGTTATCGACACTCCTGGCCTTTTTGACACCAAGAGAGCCAATAAGGAAACAGCTGAACTGATTTTAAATGCTCTTCGTCACTTCTATGGAGGGGTGCATGCTATCATCCTGGTGATGCAACTGGCCCACATCAGTAAAGAAGAGGTGGAAATGGCTGAGTGGGTGACAAAGATTTTCCATACTGAAGCACAGAAGTACATGATCCTGTTATTCACCCGAGCAGAAGAATTTCGGAGTCCAGATGATATCCACGATTTCGTGAAAAGTGAAACAAACCTCAGTGGCATTGCAGAAAAATGTGAAAATAGGTACATTGCTTTCAGCAACATAGCAGCAGAGCAGAGAAGGAAACAGCAGGTTGCAGACCTCATTAAAATGATTGATGCGATGGTAGAGAAGAACAAAGATGCTCCGTGCTACACGCGAGAAATGCTGGAGGAACATACACGGACGTTTTTTGGAAAGCATTGTACTATACTGTAGCCAACAAGGCTTTGGTCAGACGGGTGATGTTTCCTCTCTTATGCCTTTCCTGCCGCGCTCTGAAGATCACTCTCTCCTTCCTCTCCTGATGTTTCCTCCTGTCCCGTCACTGACCTACCTTTTCCCCTGGCCTGTACCATTGCTCTCCTGACAGGCTGCGAAAGTGCAATGGGTGTCTGGCGACGTGTAATTCTCCTCTGCTGCTCTGTTGTGCTGGGAAGCCGGAGACCTTGGCTGGGTGGCAGAGAGCTGCACTGCCCTGCTGGCAGCACCACTGCGCTGACTCTCTCCTCCCTGCTCTGAAGACACGGCAAGCTGAAAGCAACGGGAACATCAGGACTATGAGATGTGCCCCCTCAGAGCACAGGTCAGCCTCGAGCACTGCTTCCTAGATCAAAGCCTCTTGTCCTCCCTGTGGCAGCCAGGGCTCTAGGAACTTCTCCGGGCTTCGGGAGGGTTCGTGGTGCCAGCCTTGGTCCCTCTGCAGTGGGATGCTGCTGGTGTCACTGGCTGTGCTGCCCCTGCCTTCGCTGGGCAATGCGAGTAATTGTATGTGATCGCTGGGTCTACAGAAACTCATCTAATAAATGCCCATAAATGCCCATAAATGCTGAGCCTGGCTGTGTGGAGAGGCGCCCTTCAGTGCACTGTGACCCGCAGTGCTGAAACAGCCGTTTGGGAGGGTGGAGAATGGTCCAGGTGCATTCAGGATCAGGCCCAAGCTGCAGCTCCTCCCAGGCTGGGGTTTGGTGGTGGCCATGAGCTGTGCAAGGGCGCGAGGTCTCACTGCTTGCCAGGTGAGTGCAGCAGGCAGGAGAAACTCTGTGGCCATACCTGAGCGTGGGGCTGGGGGAGTGCTCGTGGGGGCTGCCTGACTCACCCCAGGTTCTTCTCCCACCCAGAAAGGCTGCGGAAAGCAGCCTAGGAGGGGGGAGGAATCCCAGAACGCCAGGCTGACCTCTTCCTCAAGCGATCACAGCGAGAGAAACTGCTTCAGAGCTAAACACAGACCGTACATCTCTACAATTAAATAACTGTGAGGTTGAATTGTTACTGGAGGAAATACCAGAGTTAGTGTAATAGCTGCGTTGTAGGTAGCGCTGTATGGGAATCAGTGTATATAAATCACAGAATTACAGAATCACAGAATTTCTAGGTTGGAAGAGACCTCAAGATCATCGAGTCCAACCTCTGACCTAACACTAACAGTCCCCACTAAACCATATCCCTAAGCTCTACATCTAAACGTCTTTTGAAGACCTCCAGGGATGGTGACTCCACCACCTCCCTGGGCAGCCCGTTCCAGTGCCTAACAACCCTTTCAGTAAAGAAGTTCTTCCTAAGATCCAACCTAAAACTCCCCTGGTGCAACCTAAGCCCATTCCCCCTCCTCCTGTCACCAGGCACATGGGAGAACAGGCCAACCCCCACCTCACTACAGCCTCCTTTAAGGTATCTGTAGAGAGCAATAAGGTCGCCCCCGAGCCTCCTCTTCTCCAGGCTGAACAAGCCCAGATCCTTCAGCCGCTCCTCATAGGACTTGTTCTCCAGGCCCCTCACCAGCTTCGTCGCCCTTCTTTGGACCTGCTCAAGCACATCGATGTCCTTCTTGTAGCGAGGGACCCAAAACTGAACACAGTACTCGAAATGAAGCACTCCCTTTACAAGAAGTCACATGCTGAGCAAAAAGCACCCAGTGGATTCTGTGGTGGATCACCGCAGGCCCTCGGCCTGCCCTGCACGGCCCCAGCAGGGCCAGAGCTGGCTCAGGCACACAGATAGCGAGGTTTTGGGGCAGGACTTTGCACCTTGCGCTGTGCCTCCGGCTGTAACCAACGGCTGCTGCCCCATCTGCCCTGAGCCTGGCACAGCACAGCCTAAGGAGTGGGAAGAGGAGAGGCAGCCTCGGGAAATCCCAGCCCCTGACCGCGGTGCAGGCTGCAGCTGCCTCGTCTCCTGCCCCTTCTTCTGTCAGGGCTCTGCCTCCAGTCCCACCAGAAGCAGGAACTGCTTGAAAACTAAGCACAGATCATCGCGGCAGTTAAATAACTCTGAGGGCGGACTGTTTCTGGAGGAAGTACAGGAGGTAGCGTTAGAGCTGTCTGAACCTCCAGGGCTGCACAGAATCGAAACCAAGCTGGGGGCTGGTGCGGGAGGAGCCGGTGCTGCCCTTGTGGCATGAGCACAGTTCTCCAGGCTGACACCGGCCGCCACTGCTGTCACTTCCTGGTGGCTGTGAGCGTCCTGCGGGGACAAGGCGAACGCCAGTGCAGGACGTGCAGGAAGGTACGGGCGGGAGGCCAGGGGCCGCGAGGCTCCGTGCTGGCAGGGAGGGCTCCGAGGGGGCCTGGGGACCTGGCGCAGGGCAGTGGGGCAGGGAAGTGGCTCTTCCCCAGTCCCCTCCGGTCTCTTTCCCTTCTCCCCACTCCTCGCTCCCCATGCTTGGCGTGGGCACAGCCCCAGTCCAGGGGCGTCCCTGGGCACCGTGCTCAGCCCCACGCGGGGCTGTGGCTGCATGAGTGTCACTGCCCTGAGGGTCCCTGCCACCACCCGAGGGTCCCTGCCACCACGCTGCCTTCCCCCGTGCCTGTAATCCTGTGCCTGTAATTCCTGAGACTGAGGAAACAGAGCTGCAGCACCTCACGGCTCCAGCTGTTATTTTGAATTTCTGTTCCTTGCTGCTGTCCGTGCACTGCTGTGGCTGCACACGCGGCAGCGCGATCCAGGGGACCCCGTCTGTCCCAGTGCCACCGCAGCCTGACCCAGCTGCAGCCCCCGACCCCTTCCCACAGTGGGGGCACACAGAGCCCCACAGCCTCCAGTGGCCAGCAGCAAGGCTTCGAAACCATCCCCGCTTTTAGTGAAAATCCCTTCTGCTGTCAGTGATGCTCCCAGCATCTGGGTGCCTGCTGACGGAGCCCTGGGTGTCTGCTTTTGTCTCTGCAGTGTGACAATGGCCATCCGTCGTGTCTACATGCAGCCCGGGGTAGACGGGGACTTGGAGATGAGGCTGATCCTGGCCGGGAAGGCTGGTGGGGGGAAAAGCGCCACGGGGAACACCCTCCTTGGGAAGCGTGTCTTTGAGTCCAAGCTGTCCACCCAGCCAGTGACCGTGAGATGTGCGAGTACACAGGGGCACTGGGATGGCGGGGACTTCACGGTGGTTGACACGGCCGATATTTTCAACCCCGGAGGTGTCAGCAGTGAGGTGCGCCAAGAAATTATCCGCTGCATCAGGCTGTCCTCCCCGGGCCCCCACGCGCTGCTGCTGGTGACCCAGCTGGGCCGATTCACCAAGGAGGACGAGGAGGCCGCAGAGAGACTGCAGGACATCTTTGGAGCTGATGTTTTGCAGCACACAATTGTCATATTCACCCGTGCGGAAGAGCTGGGGGAGAGATCTCTGCACGACTACGTGTCCTGTACTGACAACAAAGCTCTCCGCGAGCTGATTGAGAGATGCGGGAACAGGTACTGCGGCTTCAACAACCGGGCAGCTGGAGCCAAACGGGACCACCAGGTCATGGAGCTGATGGGGATGGTCCGCTGCATGGTGCGGGTGAATGGGGACAGGTACTACAGCAATGAGATGTACCTGGAGCCCAATTTAACAGAAGAGAAGGTGGCATATCACATGGCGAGGTACAGAGCAGGCAGGATAAAGAGGGCGCGATTCAGCTGGAGTCCATCCTGGAGAGTTGTCCTGGTTTGTGCGCTGATTGTCCTCATCATTATTGTGATTACCCTGGGTATCCTTATTGCATGGCTGTGATGAATCCCAGCACCACAGAGCCACTGAACGCCTGGGGCTGGAGGCCCCTCTGCACCCCGCGTGTTCTGTCCCTGCCCAGGCAGGGTCCCCAGCACCGGCTGCCCAGGACCGTGTCCACTGGGTGTTGGACATCTCCGGGGATGGAGACCCCAGCACCGCTCTGGGCAGCCTGTGCCAGCGCTCAGACACCCGCACAGCAAAAAAAGACTTTCCTGATGTCTTAGTGGGCATCCTTGTGCCTGCAGCAGTGCCCATACTCTTGTGTCCAGACTCTGGGCACCCCACCAGGCGTTCACACACACAGACGGGACCCCCAAGTCCCAGTGTAATGGAACCAACTCTCCCTTGGAAACGAAGAGGAATTGTCTATTTTTATTGAACTTCCCTTTAATCAGTTATCATACATGTAGTACAGGACAAAAAATATGCTTAACTTTTAACCTAGGCTCCCTTTGTTCAGGGACAGAATGCTCCTTCTGGGAGAAACCAAGGAAAGTTGCCAATAGCAAGTAGCCTGAGGTTGCGCTTCGGTGATGTGTGGCCATCGATGGGTTAGGGTGCTTCATCGGGGAACACCACCAAGGACCCCACAGAAAGGAAGGCATGCGCAGACTGGCCTGAAAAGGAGCCATTAAGAATGATGCCACATGGGCACAAAACTCAGGTAGATTAGAATGAATTTGTATTAGATCGCTAGAATAGTCATGAATTTAATGTCTCCATGTAGACAGGAAGTCGACATTGGCTGTGCTTGATCTGTGGAAACTGCACAGAGCTCTGAGGCCTGAATAAAAGCAATATCTCTCCTGAGTGCGTGCGAATTGGCTTATTGCACACCGGCTGAAGGATCATAGAGTCATAGAATGGTTGGGGTTGGGAGGGACCTTAAAGATTATCTAACTCCAACCCCCCTGAAACAGACAAGGCTGCCTCTCACCGGATGAGGTTGGCCAAGCCCCATCCAGCCTGGCCTTGAACACCTCCAGGGATGGGGCATCCACAGCTTCTCTTGACAGCCTGTGTCATTGCCTCACTACACTGACAGTGAAGCGTTTCCTCCTAAGGTGTAGCCTCAAACTATTTTCTTTTAGTTTAAGACCATTTCCCCTTATCCTCCACCACCCCAGGTTCTTCTCCTCAGGGCTGCTCTCAATCCATTCTCCACCCAGCCGGGATTTGGGCCTTGGATTGCCCTAGCCCAGCTGCAGGACCTTGCCCTTGGCCTTGTTGAACCCCCCGAGGCTGGCACAGGCCCACCTCTCAGCCTGCCTAGGTCCCTCTGGATGGCATCCCGTCCCTGCAGGGTGGCAGCTGCAGCACCCAGCTCAGTGTTGTCAGCAAACTTGCTGGGGGTGTCTCGATTTCCCTTCCTTCCAGTGTGGGGGCACAATGTCAAATGCTTTGCACAAGTCCAGGCAGATGATGTCAGTTGATCTTCCCCAGTCATCAGTGCTGCAACCCTGTCATGGGAGGCCACCAGATTTGTCAGGCATGATATGCCAGATCTGCTCCATGATCTTGCCAGGCATAGAGGTGAGACTGACTGGCCTGTGGTTAACTAGGACTTCCTATTTCCACTTTAAAAATGCAGGTTTTCTTTCCCCTCTTCCACTTAGTGGGAAGTGCCACAACTTCTCAACTGTGATGGGCAGTGGCTTAGCAACTCCATCCAGTCTCGGGGCGTGGGGCTGCTCCGCGCCACTCGTGCTTGGGGCAGCAGCAGCACCCTGGAATTTGCTCAGCGTGGTGCTTTTAGTCCCTCTCCCTGGAATAGGGCGGTGGGAGCTCAGCGCATTTGCAGGAAAGGCCAGTTTGGCAGAGCTCTGGAGTCTACAGGCTGCAGAGAGGAGGGGAAGGACACGGGCGGAAGGACACAGGGCCCTTCCGCAGGTGGCTGTGCGAGCAGGGGGTTTGCTGCTCACTCTGTGGATGCCTCTGAGCCACGGAGCGCCCGCCCTGCCTGCAAACACGCTGGGGCTGCGAGCCCGGGGCTGCGGGTCCCCCAGACAGGCTTTTCCTGTAAGTGTGCTGAGCTCCGGGCAGTGCAGAGGGTGAAACTCAGAGAAAGGGGAAGCAAAGGTAACCTGAGCTCGGCTCCCCACTTCCTCTGCCCTGCAGCAGCACTAGGGCTGATTTCCTGAAAAGGGCTGGAGCTGCGCACACACCACACCTCTGCGCGCCTGCACAGGCTTTGTGCAGCCCCTCTTCAGGCCGGTTTTGCTGATTACAAAGCCCTTTCTAGCCATCCCTCACCAGGCTGAATGTCCCTGCCTTCCCCCTGCTCCCAGTTCAAGGTTCCCCTCACCAGCGTTGAGGCTCGTGTGCTACGCTGAGGAAGAGGAGCACTTGGAAACACTTCCTGAGCGCTGGCCGAGCAGGGTCCCCTCCTGCAGGCACAAAGGGGTGCGAGGGTGGGAGTCCCGTGCAATCCCACAGCAAGGGCCGTGGCTCAGGGACGGGACCCGCACCGTGGAGGCACCTGATGTCCCCTGCATGGTCGCAGCCCCCATCCTGTGCCTCCTCGCCCAGTCCTGATTAACACCTTCATTATCAGTCTGGGAGATGCAGTATCATAGAATCATAGAACCGTTGAATATGCGGAGTTGGAAGGGACCAAAGCCCTTTCTTGCCATGTCTGACAGCGGTGTCCAAACGCTCCTTGAGCTCCAGCAATACGGGGCCATGTCCACGTCCCTGGGCAGCCTGTCCCAGTGCCCGACCACCTCTGGGTGCAGACCCTTTCCCTAACCCCCAGCCTGACCCTCCCCTGTCCCAGCTCCATGCCGTCCCCTCAGGTCCTGGCGCTGTCCCCAGAGAGCAGAGCTCAGCGCCTGCCCCTCTACTCCCCTCCTGAGGAAGCTGCAGGCCATGATGAGGTCTCCCCTCATCTCCTTTTCTCCAAGAGGACAACAGTGTTTGCTTTGGGCTGAACAAACAAAGCAACTTCAGCCGCACCTCATATGCCTTGCCCTCTACACCCCTGACATCTTTGTAGCCCTCCTATGGACACTCCGTAATAGTTTCATGTCCGTTTCATACTGTGGTGTCCGGAACCACACACACTTCACAGAATCACAGAACTGTAAGGGTTGGAAGGGACCTCAAGAGATCATCGGGTCCAACCCCCCTGCCAAAGCAGGTTCCTTAGAGCAGGTTGCCCAGGTGGGCGTCCAGATGGGCCTTGAATGTCTCCAGAGAAGGAGACTCCACAACCTCCCCGGGCAGCCTTCGAGATACTTCGAGTCCTGCACCTGGGAAGAAACAACCCGAAGTATCAGTACAGGCTGGGGGATGACCTGCTGGAGAGTAGCCCTGAGGAGAAGGACCTGGGGTGATGGTGGGCCACAAACCAGCCGTGCCCTGGGCTGCAGCAGCAGCAGCACAACCAGCAGGGCGAGGGAGGGGATTGTCCCCCTGTGCCCCACTCTTGTGAGACCCCCCCCGGGCACTGCCTTCGCTGTGGGCCCCCAGCACCAGGACGTGGAGCTGCTGGGGTGAGTCCAGGGGAGGCCACAGGGATGCTCAGAGGCTGGAGCAGCTCTGCTGTGAGGAGAGGCCGAGAAGCTTGGGGTTGCTCAGCCTGGAGAGGAGAAGGCCCAGAGAAGACCTCACAGCGGCCTTCAGGACCTGCAGAGGGTGCAGGAGGGCTGGGGAGGCACTCTTGGGCGGCAGGGTATAGGGATAGGATAGCCCTGAGCGGTGTGCGGGGTCCGTAACAGCCCCTGACTGTGATGCAGGTGGCAGCTTCCTCATCTCCTGCCCCTGCTCCATCTCTGGGCGCTCCCTGGAGCAATTGCACCAAGAGAAACTGGTTCAAAATTAAACACTGAAACCTAAATTTTGAGGTCCCTTCCAACCCAAACCATTGTAGGATTCACTCTGTGATTCATCCAGCCAGAAGTGCCATGCTGCCAGGTGCATTCTGTGTCTCATGTGTGGACAATGGTGTTATATATGGAGTGGTAATTTGTGTCGAGAAAATGGTTGATATTAATAAAGAAGGGGGAGATTTTGGAATGCGGCCATGTGGGTTGGAAAACCCCATGTCCAGAGAAGGGCGACGAAGCTGGTGAGGGGCCTGGAGAACAAGGCCTACGAGGAGCGGCTGAGGGAGCTGGGCTTGTTCAGCCTGGAGAAGAGGAGGCTCAGGGGCGACCTTATTGCTCTCTACAGATACCTTAAAGGAGGCTGTAGCGAGGTGGGGGTTGGTCTGTTCTCCCACGTGCCTGGTGACAGGACGAGGGGGAATGGGCTTAAGTTGCGCCAGGGGAGTTTTAGGTTAGATGTTAGGAAGAACTTCTTTACTGAAAGGGTTGTGAGGCATTGGGATGGGCTGCCCAGGGAGGTGGTGGAGTCACCATCCCTGGAAGTCTTTAAAAGACGTTTAGATGTAGAACTTAGGGATATGGTTTAGTGGGGACTGTTAGTGTTAGGTCAGAGGTTGGATTTGATGATCTTGAGGTCTCTTCCAACCTAGATGATTCTGTGGTTCTGTGATTCTGTGTGATTGAGATAACATTAGACTCTTAACGACGAGGCCATCAGGAATATAAAAGAGTTTAGATGGAACAAAGAAGGATGGTTCAGGAGACTCCATGCAGTCTGGGGTTTCTTGTTCTCCAGCTGGTTCTCTTGTTCTCCAGCTGTTGAGGCATGGAAGTTTCTGGGTGTTTGCTGTTGTTGTTACATTCAAAGTTGTCTGACCAATGAAAAGTTGTTTGGAAAAGAACTGCTGTGGAGAGAAGGGTATAAGAGGGGAGCCTGCCCTCAAGATAAAAACAAGAAGGCAACATGAAGTTACATCAATAAAGAAGCAGGAAAAAAAAAGTGAAGAGGAACAGGCTGGCAGAATGGAGACCAGGACGGGAGCAGGCACATTGATGGCCTCACAAAGACAGGTTCGGCCAGACTCAGCAAACCGCTCAGAGAAGCTCGTACAGAAAGTCGCTGGAAATAGGCAGCACTGGAGCTGGAAAGAAGCTCAAGCTGAGAGAAGTGGACCTGTGTACACGACTGCCTCTCGCTGGTCAGCAGTTGTGCATTATGGAGAATCTGTCCTTAGGAGCAAAGACTGTCCTGGTAACCTTACAGCTTATTCTCCTTATTAACAATCGGACAGTTTATGAGCCTGAAATATGGGACCAGACTGAGGTCAAGGTGTGGGACTCTGCAACTAAAAATTACAAGGTTGCGGTGGGATTGCTTGGCACTTGGCGAGCAGTCTCTGAGGCCTTAAAGAGCCATGTGGAGCCAGAATCAGAAACATGTGGCTTGCCAGATACTGAGGAGCTGCAGGCTCGTTTACTGATCTGACTGCTACGCCATTACCATGGGCCCCTCTGCTGCTACAGCCATCGAAGGCTTTTGCTGTTGCACCCCCTGTTGACCTGAACGTGCCTTTTGACCCAGGCCTATTGCCTTGAAAAAGAGACAACTTAAAGCAAGACATTGTTCAAAAGGAATGGAAAATGGAGACTGTTAAGTTATGGAACTTAAAGGATTGTTGTTACCTTTCCTGATTGTACATATGTATAGGCATACTTGTGTTTAGTGTGTAAAGCAATGTTCTGTATATTTAGAATGTTTGATGTTTGTGTGTGCGTGTTGGTGGAGCGTAGACTCCCCGCGCACCCAGCACTGTTTACTTGCCTTTTATACCTTTTATACCTTTTAGAAATATTTGTTTTATAAATATTACAAAATTCAGATTGAATTGAGACCTCATTTATAACATTGGTGTTGTGTTTTGGGTCAGGATGGCGGTACATACACGAACACAGAGCCCTCTACCTCCTCCACCAGGTTTTCTGGTTACTTCTTTTCTGGTAGGGCTTACACGGATTGTGGTGATCTCCCCACCTGGGGATGTTTTTGCCGCATCATCCGGTTACGATGGAGGGGGTGGAAATGTTCCAGTCATCCTCCCTCTCCGTCAGCTGCAGGAATTGGGCCAGAGGTTTCCTGCTTACACCTCTAGCCCCGTCTGCCTGCAGTCCCTGCTTTGTGGCTGCTCGTTGTTCCTGCTGCAGCGGGACTGTGACTGCGTGGGGGTGGCAGGGGACGGGAGCGTCCCAGCAGTGCAGAGCTCCAGCCTCGGCTCCGGGGCAGAAGGCATTTAATGGCTGCTCGTTCTTCTTCCCATCTTGCCCCATGCCTACCTTCCAGGGGTCCCCAAAATCGTGATTGCCACAGCTCTGCCTCCGAGGAGCAGCCACTAGATGGACCTCGGGATTCACCATGTGCTCTCGTGGGCAACGGGAGCGTTTTCCAGCACCCTAAGTGCTGGAGGCGCAGCCACCCCATACCTTTAAAAACTGAGCCATTACATTTCGGTTTGTGGACACTGATATATATGGAGTGATAATTTGTGTCGAGAAAATGGTTGATATTAATACAGAAGGGGGAGATTTGGGAATGTGGCCATGGGGGTTGGAAAACCCTGTGACTGAGATAACATTAGACTCTTAACGACAAGGCCAACAGGAATATAAAAGATTTTAGAGGGAAGAAAGAAGGGTGGTACAGGAGACTCCATGCAGTCTGGGGTTTCTTGTTCTCCAGCTGGTTCTCTTGTTCTCCAGCTGTTGAGGCATGGAAGTTTCTGGGTGTTTGCTGTTGTTGTTACATTCAAAGTTGTCTGACCAATGAAAAGTTGTTTGGAAAAGAACTGCTGTGGAGAGAAGGGTATAAGAGGGGAGCCTGCCCTCAAGATAAAAAAACAAGAAGGCAACATGAAGTTACATCAATAAAGAAGCAGGAAAAAGAAGTGAAGAGGAACAGGCTGGCAGAATGGAGACCAGGACGGGAGCAGGCACATGGATTGCCTCACGAAGACAGGTTCGGCCAGACTCAGCAAACCGCTCAGAGAAGCTCATACAGAAAGTCGCTGGAAACAGGCAGCACTGGAGCTGGAGAGAAGCTCGAGCTGAGAGAAGCAGACCTGTGCACACAACTGCCTCTTGCTGGTCAGCAGTTGCGCATTTTGGGGAATCATACGTCCGTAGGAGCAAAGACTGTCCTGGTAACCTTACAGCTTATACTACTTATTAACAATCAGACAGCTTATGAGCCTGAAATATGGGACCAAACTGAGGTGAAGGTGTGGGACACTGCAACTAAAAATTACAAGGTTGCGGTGGGATTGCTTGGCACTTGGCGAGCAGTCTCTGAGGCCTTAAAGAGCCATGTGGAGCCACAGTCAGAAACGTGTGGCTTGCCAGATACTGAGGGAGCTGCGGGCTCGTTTACTGATCCGACTGCTACGCCATGGGCCCCTCTGCTGCTACAGCCATTGAAGGCTTTTGCTGTTGCACCCCCTGTTGACCTGGATGTGCCTTTTGACCCAGGCCTATTGGCCTTGAAAAAGAGACAACTTAAAGCAAGACATTGTTCAAAAGGAATGGAAAATGGAGACTGTTAAGTTATGGAACTTAAAGGATTGTTGTTACCTTTCCTGATTGTACATATGTATAGGCATACTTGTGTTTAGTGTGTAAAGCAATGTTCTGTATATTTAGAATGTTTGATGTTTGTGTGTGCGTGTTGGTAGTGCATAGACTCCCCGCGCACCCAGCACTGTTTACTTGCCTTTTATAAATATTCTTTTACGTTACTAAATTCAGAGTTGAGACTTCATTTATAACAACACCCATCCTGGCTCCAGGAAAAGCCTCCTGAGCCTGATGAGCCCTGCTCTTGTCTGGGGGAGGAAGGCAGCGTGGACGGCTTGTTTGTGAGAAAGGAGTGGTGGCGAGAAGTACTCAAACTAAAACGCCCTTCATCGGGAGGAGCTTTTTTTGCCTTACTTGGTCAGTTCAGTAACTTTCTGTTTCTGTTCTTGACGACCAATGACTTTGCACATGATCTAGCTCCTAACCGGCTCGTACACGGTCATTTGTTCAACAGAGCTGGTTTGCACGTCACCGAAATCCCCTCCTACTCCCACTCCCGCTAAATGCTGCCAAACTTCACAGGCAGCTGCCACACTTCAGCCACTGCACCTACAGAAGAAGACCTGTCACAGTCAGAAGCTGTAAAGTTCAGACTCGGGGACAAAAGCGCACAGGTGCCTCTGGTGAGTTGTCTGAAATGCTGCTACTGTCATTCCAGGGAGAACAAAAAAAAAAAGGTTGTAATGCCTGCTTTCAGGGAGGGGGTTATTACTTCCTTAAGTAAAGTTCAGGCAGTCTTTGTTTCCAAGTGAGAACAGAAAGTCCCTGGAGAACGGAAATCCTGATTGCATATCTGTAAGGGTGATTTAACAAACTCCTTGTCTTCAGGAGTGTCTGTTCTGGTAGCACTCACTGGGTCCTCACAGGAGCGTTGACTTCACAAGGGTGTCTGCACCATAGGAATATCAAAAGGGTGAAAAAGTTCTCCGACCTGCCTTAAAGTGTCTAGGAAGAAATTGACTCATTTAAGTTACAATCAAGCTTTTAAATATATTTCCCCCTAAGCGTGCCATATGAACCTTTCACATACTTTCTGATTACTGAAGCCATTCTTAATTTTTTCCTTGTTTTGTGGACAGAACAGTCTTCTTGGGGGTGTTACAATGTTGTACCTGTCCTAGCTTTCTGTTTTAGCTGTGGTTTGTTCTTCATGCCGGTTCTGTTGTGGGATTTCCCAACTGACACGGGTTCTAGTTGTTTCATTGCACATCTGTTTCTTACCGTGATGACGAGCCCCGGAGGCACAAATGGAGGCTGGTTGGTGCAACCCAGGGCTCAGCAGGGCACGAGCATCTCTCAGCTCAAATAAAGGGCGCAGGTACCCATGGGTCTGGGTGGATCATCTGCTTGGACTGGGGTGCCACGTGTGGTTAGGTGATAAAAACATTGTTCTCGTGCTGGCAAGGAACAGAAAGCAGAGAGCTGAGGACACGGTCAGGGGCAAGACATGAACTGTATTGCACCTGGCCCGAGCGCTGTGACCTGAGGAGGTAAGAGGCAAGCACAGCAGCCGCTGATGGAGCCATGTGAAGTGAGCGGTCTGTGCACCGGGTGGCTCTGAAGGGTCTCGGCATTTGGGGGTACTTTAGGAACTGCTAAGCCTGAGCAAGCTGGCAGGGAGGCAGAGGAAAGACAGCTGAGAAGTGGTGTGGCTTTGCTGTGGATGGGGTAATTCCTCCAGTAATGACTGAATTATTTAGTGACGTGATTTTAGTTTACTTTGAGTAGTGTATAGTCTGTGCTTAGTTTTGGAGCAGTTTATCTTGCTGAAATCACTCGAGGCAGAGTCCAGAGCTGAAACAGGGGCAGGAGACGTGACAGCTGGCACCCATGGCATGATCAGTGGCTGGGACGGACCCTGCACACTGCTCGGGGCTGGGACAGACCCCGCACACCGCTCAGGCTCAGGGCTGGAGGTTCAGGTGCCGGACGAGGGCACTGAACTGACGGCGATTCTGGGGTGAGGCTCCTGCTCTAGTTAGGGGCTGTGCACATCCTCTGCGAGCTCTCAGGTTTCCCAAAGCACTGCAAGGGTTGCCAGTGACTGATCTGAGTTCCCCTGCCAGCTCCTCGTTCCCCAAAGTATCGGGATCCCCTCCCAAGCTGAGGAGGCGCAGCCCTTGCCCGGGCTGTCCCCATCTGCCACCATGGTGCAGCGAGGCCCAGCCACGCTCCCCTGCCCCTGCGACCCCTGCTCCTGGGCTGTGCGGGGCTGGCAGAAACGTGCCCTGCCCCTGGCAGGGGGTGCGGGGCTGCCAAACGCTGTTCCCTGCCTCACGGGGTGCGCAGCCATCTTGTGGGTGCGTGTGTTTACCCTCGGCTGTACAACCACTTCCTGCATGCACACACAGCAGGCAGCACGCACACACCGGGTGTGTCAGCGACCCTCATCGTGACCATCATCGGCCTTGTTACCGCCATGGGGGGAGCACGGGAGACTTTGGCAAACCTCGCTCAAAATCCCTTATTCTTCTTTCAGGTTTTCCCTCGGAGTGGGCTCAAAATGGCAGACTCTAAGATGAAAGGTGAGCGCCTTACCCACTGCACGCAGCAGCTTAGAGTCCCATGGTCACAGAGCCACAGAGTGGCTGCCCCCAGCCCCATCCAGCCTGGCCTTGGGCACTGCCAGGGATGGGGCACCCACAGCTCCTGGGGGCAGCCTTCGCCAGGCATCAAATCCCTCATTGCGAAGGATTTTGAATATCTAACCTAAATCTGCCCTCTTCTACCTTAGAACTATCACCCCGTGTCCTATTCCTACACCCCCTGCCCAAGACTCCCTCCCAGCCCTCCTGCAGCCCCTGCAGGCACTGAGGGCCGCTGTGAGGTCTCCCCACAGCAGAATTTCACAGAATTTCTAGGTTGGAAGAGACCTCAAGATCATTGAGTCCAACGTCTGATGTGACACTAACAGTCCCCACAAAACCATATCCCTAAGCTCTACATCTAAACGTCTTTTAAAGACTTCCAGGGATGGTGACTCCACCACCTCCCTGGGAAGCCTGTTCCAATGTCTAAAAACCCTTTCAGTAAAGAAGTTCTTCCTAACATCTAACCTAAAACTCCCCTGGTGCAAACAGCCTTCTCCTTTAGCAGCCTCCTCATCCAGTCAGCCGGGCGCAGTGCTGCTGAGGGTGAGGCTGGGTTTGCGTCCTCGTGCAGCCTCACGCACGCTTGTGCACGTGGTGCACGGGCCCTCTGGGGAGGCCACGGGCTCAAGGATTTCCCGAGGCTGCCTCTCCTCTTCCCACTCCTTAGGCTGTGCTGTGCCAGGCTCAGGGCAGATGGGGCAGCAGCCGTTGGTTACAGCCGGAGGCACAGCGCAGGGTGCAAAGTCCTGCCCCAAAGCCTCGCTATCCGTGTGCGTGAGCCAGCTCTGGCCCTGCTGGGGCTGTGCAGGGCAGGCCGAGGGCCTGCGGTGATCCAGCACAGAATCCAGTGGGTGTTTTTGTCTCAGCACGTGACTTCTTGTAAAGGGAGTGCTTCAGCCCGGCCGTTTGAGCACTCTGTGCATTCCTGCACTGCTGGGGAGCTGCAGCATGCACTTCTGCTTTCTCTTTCTGCCTTTGGAAGAGGTCTGGGTGCTGGCCCTCTGAGGCAGCCTTATCCAGACTCCCCTGGGGTCCCTCGTGTTGCTCCTGATTGTCCCTGGGGACCGCTGCTGGGGCCGCTAACCCTAATTCCTGTGTTTTTGCAGTAAAAACCCTTTCCTTCTCACCCCTGGGAGCGTGGCGTGCAGGGGGTGTCCCGGCACCACAGGGCTGTGGGGTTCAGACACGTGTCTCTGCTTGTTCCCCCAGGACCCAAGCTGAACATCCTGCTCGTGGGCAAAACTGGAAGTGGGAAGAGTGCAACAGGGAACACCATCCTTGGGAAGAAAGCATTTGAATCTATGGTGTCACCAGATTCAGTGACCAAGAGCTACAGTTCAGACACTGCCTCATTCCGTGGAAGAGACATTGCCGTTATCGACACTCCTGGCCTTTTTGACACCCAGAGAGCCAATAAGGAAACAGCTGAACTGATTGGAAATGCTCTTCGTCACTTCTATGGAGGGGTGCATGCTATCATCCTGGTGATGCAACTGGCCCACATCAGTAAAGAAGAGGTGGAAGTGGCTGAGTGGGTGACAAAGATTTTCCATACTGAAGCACAGAAGTACACGATCCTGTTATTCACCCGAGCAGAAGAACTTGGGAGTCCAGATGATATCCGCGATTTCGTGGAAAAAAGCACGTACCTCAGTGGGATGGCAGAAAAATGTGAAAATAGGTACATTGCTTTCAGCAACATAGCAGCAGAGCAGACAAGGAAACAGCAGGTTGCAGACCTCATTAAAATGATTGATGCGATGGTAGAGAAGAACAAAGATGCTCCGTGTTACACGCGAGAAATGCTGGAGAAAGACACACGGACAGCTTTTGAAAAGTATTGTACCATACTCTAGCCAACAAGGCTTTGGTCAGACGGGCGATGTTTCCTCTCTTGTGCCTTTCCTGCCGTGCTCTGAAGATCACTCTCTCCTTCCTCTCCTGACGTTTCCTCCTGTCCCGTCAGTGACCTACCTTTTCCCCTGGCCCGTGCCATTGCTCTCCTGACAGGCTGTGAGAGTGCAATGGGTGTCTGGCGACGTGTAATTCTCCTCTGCTGCTCTGTTGTGCTGGGAAGCCGGAGACCTTGGCTGGGTGGCAGAGAGCTGCACTGCCCTGCTGCAGCACCACTGCGCTGACTCTCTCCTCCCTGGTCTGAAGACACGGCAAGCTGAAAGCAATGGGAACATAAGGACTGTGAGATGTGCCCCCTCAGACCAGAGATCAGCCTGGAGCGCTGCTTCCGAGATCAAAGCCTCTTGTCGTCCCCGTGGCAGCCAGGGCTCTAGGAACTTCTCCGGGCTTCGGGAGGGTTCGTGGTGCCAGCCTTGGTCCCTCTGCAGTGGGATGCTGCTGGTGTCACTGGCTGTGCTGCCCCTGCCTTCACTGGGCAATGCGAGTAATTGTATGTGATCGCTGGGTCTACAGAAACTCATCTAATAAATGCCCATAAATGCCCATAAATGCTGAGCCTGGCTGTGTGGAGAGACGCCCTTCAGTGCACTGTGACCCGCAGTGCTGAAACAGCCGTTTGGGAGGGTGGAGAATGGTCCAGGTGCATTCAGGATCAGGCCCAAGCTGCAGCTCCCCCCAGGCTGGGGTTTGGTTGTGGCCATGAGCTGTGCAAGGGCGCGAGGTCTCACTGCTTGCCAGGCGAGTGCAGCAGGCAGGGGAAGCTCTGTGGCCATACCTGAGCGTGGGGCTGGGGGAGTGCTCGGGGGGGCTGCCTGACTCACCCCAGGTTCTTCTCCCACCCAGAAAGGCTGCGGAAAGCAGCCTAGGAGGGGGGAGGAATCCCAGAACGCCCGGCTGACCTCTTCCTCAAGCGATCACAGCAAGAGAAACTGCTTCAAAGCTAAACACAGACCGTGCATCTCTGCAATTAAATAACTGTGAGGTTGAATTGTTACTGGAGGAAATACCAGAGTTAGTGTAATAGCTGCATTGTGCTGTATGGGTATCCGTGTATGTAAATGTACCACTGACCTCCAGTGGCATAAGCAGTATCATTGCTATCCTAAAACCATCCCAGTGTGTCCTGAAGCCATCCAGTGCCGACTCCTGGCTGTCCCCATCCCTTGCATGACAAGAGGAATAACAGAATCCCAGAACCATCTAGACTGGAAGAGCCTTCCAGGATCACCCAGTCCATCCTCTGAGCTAACACTAACCAGTCCTCCACTAAACCATATCACTGAGCAACTTTAGCCCGTTCCCCTTCGTCCTGTCACCAGGTACATGGGAGAACAGACCAACCCTCACCTCGCTACAGCCTCCTTTAAGGAACCTGTAGAGAGCAATAAGGTCACCCCTGAGCCTCCTCTTCTCCAGGCTGAGCAACTCCAGCTCCCTCAGCCGCTCCTCAAAGGGAAGGGGCAGAAGAAGTGTGTTGGAGGGGTTGGGGGCTGTGTGCCACAAACTGCTGGAGACTCTGAGGGCCCCAGCACATTTCCTGGGGGCACAGAATACTTCTGCTGACCTAGAAGAAGGCTTGAAATGCAAGCAGCCTGTAATACACAATAAATGTTTGTTCATTGTCTTTTGTAAAAACAAGGAGTTCTGTTTGAGGAACAGGAGTTGTGAAAACTCCCTGCTGAAGTAAGGAGCTGTATAATACTTGGCTAGACACAATGAAAATTCCTTTGCTTAATGTAACAAAAAAGAGAACCCTCTCCCCTTCTCTCCTTCTGCATCTCAGTAGCCTCTTTTGTTCAAAATAACACTGCTGCAAAGTTCATGTAACCATCTCCTGATAAGTTGTTAAACTAGTGTATCAACATCCTGCCTTCCTCTCTCACGCTGGGCCAACATGACCAAATAAAGAAAGAAGTTGAACCACAACGCCGAGGAAGACTACGGCCTTCATCTTCACGACCACCAGAGGGACAGAGACGACCCCCTAGCAACAGTGCGCGCAGTCGCAGAATATACCAGGATGTGCTGCGTAATCCCAGAATTACCAAGATTTAAAAAGGGACCCTGGGGGGGGTGAGGTGCGCGCCGTTGGCGGAGCCGAGACTCCCCGGCCGCCCAGCACTGTTTTGCTTGCTGTTGCTTACTCAATAAATTCCTTTCTATTATTAATGCAATGCTCTCTGAAAATTAATTAAGGGGGCAACTTATAACACAGCCCTGTAATAATTCTGCACCGCTTGCTTAGAATGGCAAGAAAATGAGCATTTAACCTTAGGATTACGGCAAAATGCAGGCCCTGTGTGCACTTCCACCCGGGGCGTGTCTGTTGCTGTGTTAAGAGCAGCAGCAGTGGTGTGGGTAGGGGGGGTCGCCACAAGAACAAGCCAAGGCTGGGCCTGCTCCCCTCCTCTGCCACACTTCTCATTTCCAGCCAATTTTTGCATTCAAACACTGGAGCACAGGCAAGGGGGCCCGGGGAAGCACGCTGGGTTAGAAGCAGAGCAGCACTGCGAGGCTCATGCTGAAATGCAGACAGCGAAGTGGACAACTAACCCCACAGTCACACCTCCAGAGCTGCACGGGATCGAAACCAAGATCTGGGCTGGTGCATGGGTATTCGTAGGCTGCCGAGTGTCCGTGCCAGGAGGCTGAGTGCTCTCCTGTGCCTGCACCAGTGCTGGGCACAGTGGTGCCAGCAGCCACAGCCTTTGTCTCTGGGAATGCTGCTGCAGCAGCGCAGTGTCGCAGCAGGGGGGTCTGGACAGGTGGGGGCTGCTATTGGGATCCACGGGGTTCTCCGTGTCCTTTGCCAGGCCCTGCTGGGTGTCCCCATGGGAGGAGCTTGTGCTGCCTGTGCCTTGTATGCCCCCTAATGCCACGAGGGCCATGCTCCAGGCTGCCAGTGCCAACGCCGCCACCACCACCACCGCCAATGCCGCTGCCACCTCATGGTGGCTGCGAGGGTTCCATGGGGACACTGCCTCTGCTGCAGTGGTGAAACTCTGTGCCGCCAGGAGGGTTTTGAGGTGGCCCAGGGCACGCGTGTGCCTTGGTGCTGCAGGAGCCTCATGGGGAGGGTGCTGTTTTCTCCTGCAGCCACCCAGGGACCTGGTGTAGAGGCCATCCCTTTAAAAGATCGAAACCCAAAACCTTTTTCATGGTGATTTGCAAAGCGAGTAACTGGTAAGTGCTTCACATCTGTGAGTGATAAATTAATTTAGCAGTATGGTTTCACGTTCAGTACATAACCAGTATGTGCTCATTGATTACTTATAAGCTTTTGCTCAGCCAGGTCCAACGCCTCCCGGGCACACCTTGTTCTGACTTCAGGACTTGCAATTCCTCCCTGAGGGGGAGGAAGGGGTTGCTTTCCTATCTGGACCTGGCAGACCTTGTTATTTACCATCCCAGAAACGGTCTATAAACGTATAGATGTATTTATGCATGTATGTGTGAATGTATACGTATATGTCAATATTTTAATTCCAGTTGGTCCTTAAGGACAATTGACAAAGTCTTTTTAGGACTCCTAGATGTGATGCACATTCTGATTACATACTGAAATTTAAACCAAACTGCTCTGTTAATTTATGACTCTCAGACATGAAAAACATGCTGATCATAGAATGATCGAATATCTGAGTTAGAAGGGACCAACAAGGATCATTGAGTCCAACTCCTGGGTCCCCAGAGGACCAGCCCCTGTGTGTGACAGTGGTGTCCAAACGACCCTTGAGCTCCATCAATCTCGGGGCTGTGCCCACGTCCCTGGGCAGCCTGTCCCAGTGCCCGACCACCTCTGGGTGCAGACCCTTTCCCTAACCCCCAGCCTGAGCCTCCCTTGTCCCAGCTCCATGCCGTTCCCTCGGGTCCTGTCCCCAGAGAGCAGAGCTCAGCGCCTGCCCCTCTGCTCCCCTCGTGAGGGAGCTGCAGGCCGCCATGAGGCCTCCCCTCGTCTCTTCTCCATGCTGAACAATCCAAGCAACTTCAGCCGCTCCTCATATGTCTTCTCCTCTAGACCCTTCACCACATTTGTTGCCCTTCTTCGGATGCTCTCTAACAGTTTTTTATCTTTCTTGTACTGTGGTGCTCAGAGCTGCACTCAGTACTCGAGGTGGGGCCGCACCAGCGCAGAGCAGAGCAGGACGATCACTTCCTTTGACCTACAGTGCTGTCCTTGATGCATCCCAGGATACGGTTGGCCCTCTTGGCCACCAAGGCACGCTGCTGGCTTGTGCTCAGTTTGCTGTCGATCCAAACCCCCAGAACGCTTTCTTCTGGCTGCTCTCCAGCATCTCGTCCCACGGTCTGTATAACCAGGGTTGCTCTGTTGCCCTTTCCCAGGTGCAGAATCCAACACTTGCTCTTCACACACACACAGAATTTCTAGGTTGGAAGAGTGTTGTCGACAGAAGGAAGACACAGACGCTCAATATGAGTGAACAGTGAACTTCAACTTTAATGGATAGCTCAGTCGCCTTTTATCTAGTTCGAACATAATCAACTCATACATATTGCAGAAACTAAGCTCAGGATTGGCTAACACTTCCCGGGCTTTTCAGTCAGTTCCTCCTCCTTTTAGCTACCATCCCGCCTTAGGGACTTTCCCTATCGCTCAAGGGCATCGTGTCCTTGAGCCTGATTGGCTCTCAGTCAGCTGCGTGCGTGCCCAGGCTCATATGAGTTAAGTACGGTACTTCACTAGCCCATTGCCTCCTAACTGCTCAACATCCACATGCCCTACTTCACTTAACCATTCCTCCACAGAAGAGACCTCAAGATCATCGAGTCCAACCTCTGACCTAACACTAACAGTCCCCACTAAACCATATCCCTAAGCTCTACATCTAAACGTCTTTTAAAGACTTCCAGGGATGGTGACTCCACCACTTCCCTGGGCAGCCTGTTCCAATGTCTAACAACACTTTCGGTAAAGAAGTTCTTCCTAACATCCAACCTAAAACTCCCAGGCGCAACTTAAGCCCATTCCCCCTCGTCCTGTCACCAGGCACGTGGGAGAACAGACCAAAAATGTCAAACTCTTGTTAAACTTCATATTGTTGAATGGCAATGACAATGATCTAGCTGACACCAGCTAGTTCTCAGAGTACTCTGGGACGAATCCCATCAGGCCCCATTGGCTTGTACGCATCCAGGTGGGGCAGCCAGTCTGCACAGGTTCAGGGTTAACTGGGAGTTTGTCATGCTGGCTCTCGCCATCCCCCAGCTGTGGGTAGCTGGGGCCTCAGAGCCCATCATTGGTGTTTAAGACAGAGGCAGAGGCGAAAAATGCGTTGAATGTCTCTGCTTTGTCTATGTCCCTCATTGTGAGGTGACCATGCTCATCAGACCAACCTTTGCTCTGCTCCTTCTTTTCCCATTAATCTACTTCAAAAAGCCTTTTTTATTGTCCTCCATGCTGCTGGGCAGCTTCAACTCTAACAGAGCCTGCGCAGAGCCGGGAGCAGCTCATCTGGGCTCGGTGTCAGACAGCTGTTGGTGTGCCCCCCTAGCCCCAAGACTAGCTCCAGCTTCCCCTCCAGGCCTCGACACCATGGTGTGGGCAGCTCACGGCCCCAGTGCCCCAGCAGCGGTCCCCTGGGACGATCAGGAGCAGCATGAAGGCAGAAAGAGAAAGCAGAAGTGCATGCTGCAGCTCACCAACAGCAGCCCAGGAATGCACAGAGTGCTCAAACAGCCGGGCTGAAGCACTCCCTTTACAAGAAGTCACGTGCTAAGCCAAAAACACCCACTGGATTCTGTGCTGGATCACCGCAGGCCCTCGGCCTGCCCTGCACGGCCCCAGCAGGGCCAGAGCTGGCTCACGCACACAGATAGTGAGGTTTTGGGGCAGGACTTTGCACCCTGCGCTGTGCCTCCGGCTGTAACCAACGGCTGCTGCCCATCTGCCCTGAGCCTGGCACAGCACAGCCTAAGGAGTGGGAAGAGGAGAGGCAGCCTCGGGAAATCCCAGCCCCTGACCGCGGTGCAGGCTGCAGCTGCCTCGTCTCCTGCCCCTTCTTCTGTCAGGGCTCTGCCTCCAGTCCCACAAGCAGCAGGAACTGCTTGGAAAATAAACACAGATCATCGCGGCAGTTAAATAACTCTGAGGGCGGACTGTTTCTGGAGGAATTACAGGAGGTAGTGTTAGAGCTGTCTGAACCTCCAGTGCTGCACAGAATCGAAACCAAGCTGGGGGCTGGTGCGGGAGGAGCCGGTGCTGCCCTTGTGGCATGAGCACAGTTCTCCAGGCTGACACCGGCCATCTCCGCTGTCCCTTCCTGGTGGCTGTGAGCGTCCCGCGGGGACAAGGCGAACGCCAGCACAGGACGTGCAGGTACGGGTGGGAGGCCAGGGGCCACGAGGCTCCGTGCCGGCGGGGAGGGCTCTGAGGGGGCCTGGGGACCTGTCGCAGGGCAGCGGGGCAGGGAAGTGGCTCTTCCCCCTGTCCCCTTCTGTCTCTTTCCCTTCTTCCCAGTCCTCGCTCCCCATGCTTGGCATGGGCACAGCCCCAGACCAGGGGAGTCCCTGGGCACCGTGCTCAGCCCTGAGGATCCCTGCCACCACCCGAGGGTCCCTGCCAGCCTACTGCCTTCCCCCGTGCCTGTAATCCTGTGCCTGTAATTCCTGAGACTGAGACTGAGGAAACAGAGCCGCAGCACCTCACGGCTCCAGCTGTTATTTTGAATTTCTGTTCCTTGCTGCTGTCCGTGCACTGCTGTGGCTGCACACATGGCAGCGTGATACAGGGGATCCCGTCTGTCCCAGTGCCACCGCAGCCTGACCCAGCTGCAGTGTCCCCGAGCCCTTCCCACAGCGGGGGCACACAGAGCCCCGCAGCCTCCACTCACCAGCAGCGACCAGAACCATCCCCGCTTTTAGTGAAAATCCCTTCTGCTGTCAGTGATGCTCACAGCATCAGGGTGCCTGCTGACGGAGCCCTGGGTGTCTGCTTTTGTCTCCGCAGTGTGACACTGGCCAGTCTGTCGTGTCTATTTGCAGCCTGGGGTCGGTGGGGGCTTGGAGATGAGGCTGATCCTGGCCGGGAAGGCTGGTGGGGGGAAAAGCGCCACGGGGAACACCCTCCTCGGGCAGCGTGTCTTCGAGTCCAAGCTGTCCCACCGAGCCAGTGACCGTGAGCTGTGCGAGAGCACAGGGGCACTGGGATGGCGAGGACTTCACGGTGGTTGACACGGCCGACATTTTCAACCCCGGAGGTGCCAGCAGTGAGGTGTTCCAAGAAATTATCCGCTGCATCAGGCTGTCCTCCCCGGGCCCCCACGCACTGCTGCTGGTGACCCAGCTGGGCCGATTCACCAAGGAGGACGAGGAGGCCGCAGAGAGACTGCAGGACATCTTTGGAGCTGATGTTTTGCAGCACACAATTGTCATATTCACCCGTGCGGAAGAGCTTGTGCGTAGGGTCACTGCAAGATTATGTGAAGTATTCCAATAACAGGGCTCTCCGCAAGCTGATCGAGAGGTGCGGGAACAGGTACTGCGGCTTCAACAACCGGGCAGTTGGAGCCGAACGGGACCACCAGGTCATGGAGCTGATGGGGATGATCCGCTGCATGGTGCGGGTGAATGGGGACAGGTACTACAGCAATGAGATGTACCTGGAGCCCAATTTAACAGAAGAGAAGGTGGCATATCACATGGCGAGGTACAGAGCAGGCAGGAAAAGTATTGGATTTCTCACTCTGTCTTACAGGAGACCTATTGTGATTTGTGGGATGATTCTCCTTGCCATTGCCGTGGTTGTCATTATTTTTCTTATTTGGTGGGAGCGATGAATCCCAGCACCACAGAGCCACTGAACGCCTGGGGCTGGAGGCCCCTCTGGACACCGCTCCAGCTGCCCAGGACCGTGTCCACTGGGTGTTGGACATCTCCAGGGATGGAGACCCCAGCACTGCTCTGGGCAGCCTGTGCCAGCGCTCAGACACCCGCACAGCAAAAAAAGACTTTCCTGATGTCTCACCAGGCATCCTTGTGCCTCCAGCGGTGTCCATGCCCTTGTGCCCAGGCTCTGGGCAGCCCACCAGGTGTTCACACACACAGATGGGACCCCCAAGCCCCCTTCCCCAGGCTGAGCAGCCCCAACTCCCAGCCTCTGCCCATCTTGCAGATGACTCCTTGTCCTGGTGCAATGGAACCAAATTTCCTTTGGAAAAGAAGAGGAATTGTCTATTTTTATTGAGCTTCCCTTTAATCAATTGTCATATATGCAGTACAAGGCAAAAAATATTTTTAACTTAGGCTCCCTTTGATCAGGGACAGAATGCTCCTTCTGGGAGAAACCAAAGAAAGTTGCCAATATCAAGTAGCCTGAGGTTGTGCTTACGTGACGTGACCATTTTGAGAATCAAGGTTGTATTTTTGCAATAGAAGTTGTTTTTGCAGTGGAATATCCATTAACCTTGCATATTCAAATGTGATTGTGCAGCCATGACAGCAGCATAGCACTAGTTAAGCAGATAAGGGGAAGGTCCCACTGTCCCAACATAAGAAGCATAGCTAATAAAAATGGGAGGAGTAGTACGAAATAAGTAAAAACAAGAATCACAGGCCCTCTAATCACAAGAGAAGTAAAAAAAAAAAAAAAAAAAAAAAAAAAGGAAAAGGAGAAATCAATGACTGGTCAAATAAAATTGTACCTATATGGTATAGAAGTGCATCAAGTAAGTTGTGAACCTGTAGTATTCAACCAGTGAGGAAACAGGGAGAAATCAGGTGTTGGGTAATAGGGGATATAGGGTTATTGTAAACATATGCTGTGCACTGCAGCTTGCAGGATGTGAGAAACTAAGTTGTGCTTTTGCAGTAGAGAATTACTTTTCTGTATTCCAAGGTAGTTGTGTAGTCATAATAGAGAAAAGCGCAGTAGGTAAGTGGACAGTAGAAGGCTGCACTGTTCCAAAATAAGGTGGAAGCTTGAGACAAACACGATGAGCAGTGTGGGAATAGTAAAACAAAGATCACAGGTTCTTAAAACATAAAAAAAAAAAAAAGGAAAAGGGAGAAATTAAAGGGTTGAAAAAAAGAAGAATTGTACATGTATGGTATAAAGGAGCGTCAAGTAGCTTGTGAACCTGTAGTACTCAGAGAATGAGGAAACAGGGGAGGCAATGACATGTCGGGTAATAGGGAATAAAAGGTTATGATGTGTTTACTATAATGTGCTCCTAATTGGTAGGATGCCTGCCACTGCAGTCATGAATAAAATAGCTTCACGGAACATCCTGTCTGAAGAAAATTATTTGAGATTTTCCTCACAAGGATGCCCACCATTGCAATTGCGAATAAAATAGCTTCATGGAAGGTCCCATCTAAGAAAATTATTGATATTTTTATCACACCACCAATAGATAAAAGGGGTTAGGGTGCTTCATTGGGGAACACCACCAAGGACCCCCACAGAAAGGAAGGCATGCGCAGGAGGGCCTGAAAAGCAGCCATTAAGAATGATGCCACATGAGCACAAAACTCAGGTAGATTAGAATGAATTTGTATTAGATCGCTAGAATAGTCATGAATTTAATGTCTGCATGTAGCCAGGAAGTCGACATTGGCTGTGCTTGATCTGTGGAAACTGCACCGAGCTCTGAGGCCTGAATAAAAGCAATCTCTCTCCTGAGTGCGTGCGAATTGGCTTATTGCACACCAGTTGAAGGATCATAGAGTCATAGAATGGTTGGGGTTGGGAGGGACCTTAAAGATTATCTAACTCCAACCCCCTTGAAACAGACAAGGAAACCTCCCCCCAGATGAGGTTGGCCAAGGCCCATCCAGCCTGGCCTTGAACACCTATAGAATCATAGAATCATAGAATCATAGAATCATAGAATATCCTGAGTGGGAAGGGACCCTTAAGGATCATCAAGTCCAACTCTTGACACCGCACAGGTCTACCCAAAAGTTCAGACCATGTGACTAAGTGCACAGTCCAATCACTTCTTAAATTCAGACAGGCTCGGTGCAGTGACCACTTTCCTGGGGAGCCTGTTCCAGTGTGCAACCACCCTCTCTGTGAAGAACCCCCTCCTGATGTCAAGCCTAAATTTCCCCTGCCTCAGCTTAACCCCGTTCCCGTGGGTCCTGTCACTGGTGTTAATGGAGAAAAGGTCTCCTGAGTCTCAACACCCCCTTACGAGGAAGTTGTAGACTGCGATGAGGTCTCCCCTCAGCCTCCTCTTCTCCAGGCTGAACAGGCCCAGTGCCCTCAGCCGTTCCTCATACGTCCATCACCTCCAGGGATGGGGCATCCACAACTTCTCTGGGCAATATGTGCCTCACCACCGTCTGAGTGAAGAATTTCTTCCTAACATCCAATCTAAATCTCCCCTCTTTCAGTTTAATAACATTCCCCCTTGTCCTATCATTATCTACACAATTAAACAGTCCCTCTCCATCCTTTTTATAAGAACCCTTCGAGCACTGAAAGGCCTCAATGAGGTCTCCACAGAGCCTTCTTTGGATGGCATCCCTTCCTTCTCCTTTGTTGACTGCACCACTCAGCTTGGTGCCATCTACAAACTCACATCATGACACATTTCAGTCATGCCTGGCACTTGGTCCTTGTGCATCCACGTGTGTGGTGGGAGCGGAGGATGGCAAAACGCTTCTTGCTGTGCCAAGCCAAGCCATGTCGTGCCAGCTTCAGGAGCTGAGTGGATCTCTGGGTCAAGTGGTGCCTGCCGTAGTGCGGGTGCCTGCCCCTGGTTCCCTTCCTGTACTTCCTTCTACCTCCTTTGCTTGAGGAAGCGGTCAGCCTGGCGTTCTGGGATTCCTCCCCCCTCCTAGGCTGCTTTCCGCAGCCTTTCTGGGTGGGAGAAGAACCTGGGGTGAGTCAGGCAGCCCCCACGAGCACTCCCCCAGCCCCACGCTCAGGTATGGCCACAGAGCTTCCCCTGCCTGCTGCACTCGCCTGGCAAGCAGTGAGACCTCGCGCCCTTGCACAGCTCATGGCCACCACCAAACCCCAGCCTGGAGGGAGCTGCAGCTTGGGCCTGATCCTGAATGCACCTGGACCATTCTCCACCCTCCCAAACGGCTTTTTCAGCACTGCGGTTCACAGTGCACTGAAGGGCGCCTCTCCACAGAGCAAGGCTCAGCATTTATGGGCATTTATGGGCATTTATGGGCCTTTATGGGCATTTATTAGAATTTATTAGATGAGCATTTATTAGATGAACTTCTGTAGACCCAGCGATCACATACAATTACTCGCATTGCCCAGCGAAGGCAGGGGCAGCACAGCCAGTGACACCAGCAGCATCCCACTGCAGAGGGACCAAGGCTGGCACCACGAACCCCTCCCAAAGCCTGGAGAAGTTCCTAGAGCCCTGGTTGCCATGAGGAGGACAAGTGGCTTTGATCTCGGAAGCAGCGCTCCAGGCTGATCTCTGCTCTGAGGGGGCACATCTCACAGTCCTGATGTTCCCATTGCTTTCAGCTTGCCGTGTCTTCAGACCAGGGAGGAGAGAGTCAGCGCAGTGGTGCTGCCAGCAGGGCAGTGCAGCTCTCTGCCACCCAGCCAAGGTCTCCGGCTTCCCAGCACAACGGGTGGTGACAGAGCAATGCAGAGACAGAGTAGCAGAGGAGAACTGGAGTCAAGTCCAGTTGGAGGCCAGTCACTAGTGGCGTTCCCCAGGGCTCGGTGCTGGGGCTGTACCTCTTTCATATCTTCATCGATGACCTGGATGAGGGCATTGAGTGCACCCTCAGTAAGTTTGCAGATGACACCAAGTTAGGTGCATGTGTCGATCTGCTCTAGGGTAGGAAGGCTCTGCAGGAGGATCTGGATAGGCTGCACCGATGGGCTGAGGGCCAACTGCATGAAGTTCAACAAGGCCCAAGTGCCAGGTCCTCCACCTGGGGCGCAATAACCCCACGCAGAGTTACAGGCTGGGGAGATGAGTGGTTGGAGAGCTGCCAGGCAGAAAAGGACCTGGGAGTGATGGTGGACAGTCGGCTGAATATGAGCCAGCAGTGTGCTCAGGTGGCCAAGAAGGCCAACGGCATCCTGGCTTGTATCAGAAGCAGTGTGACCAGCAGGGCTAGGGAGGTGATTGTCCCCCTGTACTCGGCTCTGGTGAGGCCGCACCTCGAGTACTGTGTTCAGTTTTGGGCCCCTCGCTACAAGAAGGACATCGAGGTGCTTGAGCAGGTCCAAAGAAGGGCGACGAAGCTGCTGAGGGGCCTGGAGAACAAGTCCTATGAGGAGCGGCTGAAGGAGCTGGGCTTGTTCAGCCTGGAGAAGAGGAGGCTCAGGGGCGACCTTATCGCTCTTTACAGATACCTTAAAGGAGGCTGTAGTGAGGTGGGGGTTGGCCTCTCCCGCGTGCCTGGTGACAGGACGAGGGGGAATGGGCTAAAGTTGCGCCAGTGGAGTTTTAGGTTGGATGTTAGGAAGAACTTCTTTACCGAAAGGGTTGTTAGACATTGGAACAGGCTGCCCAGGGAAGTGGTGGAGTCACCATCCCTGGAGGTCTTTAAAAGACGTTTAGATGTAGAGCTTAGGGATATGGTTTAGTGGGGACTGTTAGTGTTAGGTCAGAGGTTGGACTCGATGATCTTGAGGTCTCTTCCAACCTAGAAATTCTGTGATTCTGTGATTCTGTAATTACTTGTCACCAGACACCCTTTGCACTCTCGCAGCCTGTCAGGAGAGCAATGGCACGGGCCAGGGGAAAAGGTAGGTCACTGACGGGACAGGAGGAAACATCAAGAGAGGAAGGAGAGAGTGATCTTCAGAGCGTGGCAGGAAAGGCACAAGAGAGGAATCATCACCCGTCTGACCAAAGCCTTGTTGGCTAGAGTATGGTACAATACTTTTCAAAAGCTGTCCGTGTGTCTTTCTCCAGCATTTCTCGCGTGTAACACGGAGCATCTTTGTTCTTCTCTACCATCGCATCAATCATTTTAATGAGGTCTGCAACCTGCTGTTTCCTTGTCTGCTCTGCTGCTATGTTGCTGAAAGCAATGTACCTATTTTCACATTTTTCTGCCCATCCCACTGAGGGTACGTGCTTTATTTCCACGAAATCGCGGATATCATCTGGACTCCCAAGTTCTTCTGCTCGGGTGAATAACAGGATCGTGTACTTCTGTGCTTCAGTATGGAAAATCTTTGTCACCCACTCAGCCACTTCCACCTCTTCTTTACTGATGTGGGCCAGTTGCATCACCAGGATGATAGCATGCACCCCTCCATAGAAGTGACGAAGAGCATTTCCAATCAGTTCAGGCTGTTTCCTTATTGGCTCTCTGGGTGTCAAAAAGGCCAGGAGTGTCGATAACGGCAATTTCTCTTCCACGGAATGAGGCAGTGTCTGAACTGTAGCTCTTGGTCACTGAATCTGGTGACACCATAGATTCAAATGCTTTCTTCCCAAGGATGGTGTTCCCTGTTGCACTCTTCCCACTTCCAGTTTTGCCCACGAGCAGGATGTTCAGCTTGGGTCCTGGGGGAACAACCAGAGACACGTGTCTGAACCTCACAGCCCTGTGGTGCCGGGACATCCCCTGCACGCCACGCTATCAGGGGTGAGAAGGAAATGGATTTTACTGCAAAAACACAGGAATTAGGGTTAGCGGCCCCAGCAGCGGTCCCCCAGGGACCATCAGGAGCAACACGAGGGACCCCAGGGGAGTCTGGATAAGGCTGCCTCAGAGGGCCAGCACCCAGACCTCTTCCAAAGGCAGAAGAGAAAAGAGAAAGCATGAAGTGCATGCTGCAGTCCCCAGCAGCCCAGGAATGCACAGAGTGCTCAAACAGCCGGGGCTGAAGCACTCCCTTTACAAGAAGTCACGTGCTGAGACAAAAACCACCCACTGGATTCTGTGCTGGATCACCGTAGGCCCCCGGCCTGCCCTGCATGGCCCCAGCAGGGCCAGAGCTGGCTCAGGCACACAGATAGCGAGGTTTTGGGGCAGGACTTTGCACCCTGCGCTGTGCCTCCGGCTGTAACCACGGCTGCTGCCCCATGTGCCCTGAGCCTGGCACAGCACAGCCTAAGGAGTGGGAAGAGGAGAGGCAAGCCTCGGGAAATCCTTGAGCCCGTGGCTCCCCAGAGGGCCTGTGCACCGCATGCACAAGCATGCGTGAGGCTGCATGAGGATGCAAACCCAGCCTCACCCTCAGCAGCACTGCACCCAGCTGACTCAATGAGGAGGCTTGCTAAAGGAGAAGGATGCGGGGGAGACCTCACAGCTGATCACGGAATGCTGACTCCACAGTCACTAAGAGTGTACAGTAGGTATGTTTATTCAGAGCTGGGCAGCACGGTGGGTAGTCCCAAAAAAGTCATCCACCCCTAACGCAGTAACTTGTCGTGGTTATATGCGGTAAAGGAGGTTAGCGTAGTGCATGAGGTTTCCCAATACGCCTATACAATATGCATAACCTGTCCCCGCTTAGTATTAAAATTAGTTACAAGACATCGTTCCATAAACTACTACCATCTGCGCTGCGCGGTGCCCTTGTGGTGGTGGGGCGCTGAGGGTCGTGGGATTGAAGTAAGATGTCTTCATCAGGATTGAACTTTTCACCACATCTCTTTGCGCATGCTCTCTGAGGCCTTGGTCACAATTGGGCCATAAGGTTGTTTTGATCTGCTTCTTGGGGGTCCGAAGGGCTCCTGTTATCTGGAGGCCTAAGCGCAGCACAGGCGCAAGTACATTGGCAAATATATCGGTGCGGCCTCACCTCGAGTACTGTGTGCAGTTCTGGGCACCACAGTATAAAAAGGACATGAAGCTTGTTGGAGGGTGTCCAGAGGAGGGCTAACGAAGATGGTGAAAGGCCTGGAGGGGAAGACGTACGAGGACGGCTGAGGTCACTGGGCCTGTTCAGCCTGGAGAAGAGGAGGCTGAGGGGAGACCTCATCGCAGTCTACAACTTCCTCGTAAGGGGGGTGTCGAGAGGGCAGGAGACCTTTTCTCCATTAACACCAGCGACAGGACCCGCGGGAACGGGGTTAAGCTGAGACAGGGGAAGTTTAGGCTTGACATCAGGAGGGGGTTCTTCACAGAGAGAGTGGTTGCACACTGGAACAGGCTCCCCAGGGAAGTGGTCACTGCACCGAGCCTGTCTGAATTTAAGAAGAGATTGGACTGTGCACTTAGTCACATGGTCTGAACTTTTGGGTAGACCTGTGCGGTGTCAAGAGTTGGACTTGATGATCCTTAAGGGTCCCTTCCAACTCAGGATATTCTATGATTCTATGATTCTATGAATATAGCACCTATTCATTCTTAGTCAATCACTCTCTAATTTCTAATCCCAATGATTCATCCTCCCTTTTCTGGAAAATCTACTAAATTCTTTTATGTTAATACAAAAATTCTTCTCTCTCAGTCTCTATGGTATGTACCCCTCAATGCATTGCCATGCACTTTTGTCAAGGAAGGCACTATAGACATTCATTTTAACGATTCCAAGTTCCAAACAAATATTACAAAGACAATATCAAGCTTATGCCAACTAATATCTATAAAACAATAATTGGGTGACACAATGTGTTCAAAATCCCAGTTGCAGTGGGCGACCATCCAAGAGTGTATCCCAGCAGTTGTGATTTGTGTCCGTTTTTGCTCTTTGCCTGTGTATCATGATGGACAGTGATTAGAGTGTACATTGTGTTGTTAGGACTTGATCAACTGGTGGGATACCACTGGTGTCAAATAGAAAATCACACCCGATGATTCTAACAAAGTTACAAATACAAATGTTAGAATGATTTTTGCTAGGAGGGTTATGTTCTCCTTATCTACTTCTACAAAATCACAAGCAGTTCTTAACACACATAGCCTTGACCGATATATACAAGCACAGTCTTTGACTAGTATTTGGGATGAATTTCAAAGTGGCAAACACCTTGCTCCGTGTCAAGACATACATCCTGAGCATCAATGTATTACTTTTCACAAATAAATCCTTGCTGTTCCCAGGGTAACACATGATTCTAGATTTACAGACTGCCATCTCCCATTCTCCATCCGTGCCCATGTTTCTATGCTCTGAAGGACAGAGCACTGTCTCCTCATGGTTTAATCCTAGTGCAATGATGGGGTGGATAACATAAACTGGGCATTACGTATAGTAAGCACAAAGGCAGTAGCCTTGTTAACAATGGGATCTATAGGTAAAATTACCAGAGTCCACCAGATTGGAATTTCTCAAAATCATTGGCATTGTCCAAACAGTCTTTTGGACTTCAGCCGGAAAAATGCCTTCACTTCCTCCCTAATGATCAAGGCAGCCGTTGCCTGAATCCATAACTGTGCTTGTATACGACAAAGAGCTAAAGATGCATTATCTTGAACCATACTAAGTGCATCTATATTAGTTGTGGTCTTGGGTCTTCAGCCTTTTCCCATCTCGGTAATACCTTTGAAACTTGGCCATTGGCTAGTTCCCATGCCATTAAGGATGATTGTAGGGGCTGTTTAGTTTGTCTCACTGTTGTAGAAGTACAGCCAAAAACACTAATGATTACAGTCTGTGTTAATATAAAACTTATACCAGCAATCTGATTTACCTGGGCAGATGCAACGTTCTTGTTAGCCACTTTGGAAATCAGTTTACTAAAAATCCCCATTACTTTCTCGTGGGTCATTCCATTACTCATTCAGTACCCTATTTTATTTCGTCCCCTAAGGTTCTTTGGTGTGTCCATTCTTTCCCTAATTTTTGCCATTCTTGTAATGTACATAAATGGTCACCATTTGTCGCCAAATAACCGCAACTGCTAACTTTCCATTAATGCTCTATCCTCTATTGTTACAGCTTCGGACCAAGGCCACTAACCATTCTCTATTATCCTAGAGGCACCTTCTTGAATCACAATTACAATTTATAAGCCATAGAAATAAAACAATTCTGTTAACTAGACTCCTGCTGACTATATTACTAATACTCCTTGACCATAATGTCCTCATTTACTCGACTGAGCTTTAGTTTCAGTTCACCGTCACCTGGCGTTACTTTCCAGGGGGTTCTGGAGCTTTCTTCACTTGAGAATGGTGAATCCAGGCACTCTGTTCCTTGATCTTAATTGTGGTGAAGGCTGTAAGGAGCACCTGGTATAGTCCTTCCCACTGTGGCTTCAAAGTTTTCTCTACAAGAGACTTAGTTACCTCTCAGGCTTTGGCAGTCCTAGTGGGGAAAGCCTCTGGCCATCCTGAAAAGGTATCTGTCTGTTAACACCAGTAAATATCGACACCCCCCTTTTCTTGGAAGTTCAGAAAGGTCAATTTGCCACTGTTGCCCGTGCCCATGGCCTTTTCCAATTTGACACAGTTGTGGTTTGGGGGCAATGTTGGGGTTAGTCTGTAGACAAAGATCACATTGTTCAGTTATTTGAGTGATGGTAGCATATAAGGTTCTGGCAATATTTTTTTTTTTTCAATTAGATAGTTATACAAAGCATCTATTCCCCAATGTGTTTTCTGGTGTTCTTTCTTTACCAGTGACCGCAATAAATTGGAGGGGATGACTAGCTTCCCTTCCTGTCTTTGGTAATAGTCCATCCCTCTTGGTTATATTTTCCCTTCTGACCTTCGATTAATTTTCTATCCTTTTTGTTATATACAAGCTTACCTTCGAGGAGAATTTGCCTGTCTGGAATCAGGGCTCCCTCAGTTGCCACCTCACCTTCTGCTGCTTCTTTTGCCTCTCTGTCTGCCAGATCATTTCCTTCTTCCAATTCTGAGCTCGCCTTCTGGTGTGCCTCAGTGTGCATGATTGCTACCTTTTCAGGCAGCTGAACTGCTTCCAATAATCTCATTATTTAGTCCCTATAGATATTTATTTTTCAAATTCTATTACGTCTTTGCAAGTGGTAACTGCATACCCAGCATGTCGTTTTCTACTGATGACGTAGCTGCTCATCAGTATGCTCATCATGATATTTCCACATCATCAAAAGGAGTGTCCTTCAGATCTGGATGGGCTGGAGTAGGTAG